TACTTTCCAACACGACAAAAGGAATAATCATATTGGCAAACATAAGCTTTATGATTATCCTGGGTGCTTCCGGTACAACCATTTCAGGGATTTTTTTTTTTTTATGTTAAGACTCATAACTGAAACAAATTACATGAATCGAAACATCCAGAGGGGAAACAAACCTTCATCGCCCAGTGAGTGAAACCTCAACTTCCCAATGGGTCTCTATTTCCCAGTCCTACCACTGCTCCCTTCTCAAGGTGTGCTCTCAAGACAACAGAGGTCCTCAAGAAGTACATATATGCTGATTATCCTTCTGTCCCACTCCTGCCAACACCAGGTGTCAAACCAACCCACCCCACTACAGAGAAGGAGCACGGGTTCCCCACTGCCATCCCAGTTCCCACCAGCATCACTGGCCACAAACCACAAACAGGCAAAACCTTCTGCCCTTTGTGGATTTTTCCCCCTCCCCACCCTGCCCCGGAATGGACAGGGGACAAATTCACAATTTGTTCTAAGAGAGTGTCGAAGTTTGCTTGGGAGGTTGTCAGGTAAGAGAATCAAGCAAAAATACACATCATTTGTTGCACCACCACTCATGTCAACCTCAAGTGGCCTAGAATAGATGAGAAAAACAAAACAGCAAAGCTCTAAGTATAATATACTGGCACATATAAGAAACTTCAACTATATTTTTTTTTAACCAGCAAACAATTGAAAGATAATGGGGGGTGGAGGGAGAAGGATATTCTTGGGATTACAGTTTAAAATATGGCCAAGAAAATAGCATAAAATTCCATTTTGTGCCCAAATATTCCCCTATCATCTTAGCTGAAATAAGTTTTAAATTGATTTTTACACTGCCCCTAAGGCCATAATGGCATCCTCAATGGTTCAATTACAGCAAAAAGCAGAGAAGTAACAGATAACAGTATGCTCACCAGTAAAAGAAGGGTATGGTCTCTGTGTGCATACATATGTATCAACATTTAAAACCATTTATTGATTTGGTTAAGCTGTGCTAATATATTGGTACTGCTCATTTGCTTGGAGTCCCCCTAGTTTGCCTGAATTAGGAGAAGAAGCTGAGGTTAAACTCAGGTTAGTTGACATGTGTCAGCCAAGCCTGACTTAATCATGGGTTTCTAACTAGTTTGATCTTCGTGTCTAAATAATATTAAGAAGAGGAAGAAACCACAGGGTTTGGGTTCTGAATCGCTATTTTTACAAGCTGTACACAAACAGACAAGGCAGAGTTGTGCATGCTGACTCCTCCACAGAAAACCACCCCGTGATTCCCCAGCTCCCTGGCTGCGTACCTCCCACTGAAAGTTCTACCACAAAAACATGGAGACCCCCAAAGACTGAAACAGGAAAAACCAATTTTCTTAACTCTGTATTAATTCAAGTGTAGTCTAATACCATCCATCCTACTGGTGAAAGAGGACCTCCATAATACCAAGCAGGTGACTTTGAGCAACTTGGATCTGCCATCCAAGCTCCCCAGTTAAAACAACATACATGGATTTACTCCAATGATTGCAGCTGAATCCAAGACCTGGGGAAACTTCCCATTCATCTCAAAGCATTTCTCAGATCTGGCATAAAAGTAAGGGCTTGATGAGCAATAAAGAAACTAAAATAATATAGCTTAAACCACAGAGGTGCCAGCTTTTACTGCCTTTCATTGAGCACGCAGTATTTTTCTCCCCCTGTTCCAAGGGAAATAACACTCCGTGCAACTGTTATAGGATGTAAAACGTGCACTGTGCTGTTCAGATGGAGCTCATAATTGAAACATTTAAGCATCAGTGAAATCCCAAATGTAAAGTTTTTAATTTTCATTCAGCCATGAAGTTAAAATTCTGTGAGGGGGGGGGGTGGAAACTACTACCTCAGAGTGCTTTTAAGGTCTATTCTTTCTGATATAGTAATCAGAAAGATAAGCTCAGTCAATACACCAGCAATTGCTGCCATACTCCAGCGGCTCGCCGCTGCATTGCCTGCTTTGCCTTTGTCATCCCTGCCCTGTGCCACACATGAGGTTATCAAGGGGCTTATCAAGGACACATGGCCTGCTGCCTGCAACACATGAACGAGTGCCACTACCTTCATCCACAGGCTTTTGACCCTGCAAGAGTAATGAGCAGGCTCCTATTGGAGAGTGGGGCTCCCATGGAGGCAACTGTTCAAGCTCAGGCCAAACACACCCAAAAGCAGCCCAGCAGGCTCAAGGGCCCATGGAAAGAACCAGCTCAATCATCTTTGTCTAAAGGCACATGATCATTATTTATAGGAAGGAGAAGGTTATCTTGCAATACTGATCTTATTCAGCAGCTTCCAAGATGACCGAGTATGATATCAGGCTAAAAAAACCTCAGCTGAAACCACTAAACACTCTGCACAACTTCCAGGGAAGCCCTGAAAGGCCGGTTTGTGTCTTGCAGATCCTCAGACCATCTTTCCCAACACTTGTGTTCACAAACTCTGTTAGAGCCATCTTGGACTGCATCATGCACAAACTCATGTTCTTACACACTTGCATCCCATGATCTTCACAGGTTGCCCATTTCACAGTCTGGATAAACTTTAAGGTATTGAATTTTGCCTGGAAATTTTTCAAAGGTTTGATGTTTGCCTCCCAGAGAGGCACCTCTTCCCCACAAAAACCTGCCTGCAGATATGGTACTGCTACAGAGTCTGCTTTTGCACTGCTTTCCATCCCCCACCTTCACTCAAATCACACTGACCATGGTACCTCTAGAAGGGATCCCACCACTGCCTCTTGTCCACACCTGCTGGACCAAATCCACTGATTCCAGTGCTTGCGTGTTCATGTGCAACCCAGCTGGGAAATGACACCCCAACTTATTGAGCCTCAAGAGTACAAGACCTGTCTCTTCTCCTGGAGAGGTCAAAGAGATGTGAGAAGTCTGCTGTTAAGCTGTGCTATCATGGTGTTTCAAGTACTGAGGACAGAGGAAGGATGAACTTGTGGTTAGGCCACGAGACAGAGATGCAGCTTCCAGCAATCCAAGCCTTCTGCCACAGATGGCCCCAACAGTTTCAAACTGGTCAAATAATCTCTCACACCAGACTTCCCCACCTGTTTTAAGTGCTTGAGAAGGAAACATTTGCAACCAAACATGGAGCACTCAAGACATCAAAATGGTGAGGACTATCAAAACAGGCACATACCTCACTGGTGAAGAAAGAGACTGATGTGTTTAATGGTCTATAATGCCTGGTTAGTTACCTTGAAAGTACTTAAGAGCAGGCAACACACCCTTGGATTAAAACTAAATAAACATTTACAGCCCTAAAAAATGGCTTTTACTGTAAGGAGGCCTGACACTTCTTGTACCTGTAACTCTACATACATTTAACAGGATGCCAAACTATGTATTATAGGATGTTAAAAAGCAAAACATTATAGACATTTCCATAGAAAGCAGGTAGGCAGGCATAGAGAGAAGAGACAAAACAAAATGGATAACTTGCTAGGGTCTGATTCAAACATCTTAGAAAAATGTTATTTGCTCAACTCAGGACTGAGCTACCAAGGAGATTTGTGGCAGCTAAAACTACAATAAAATGGAGATGAAAACTCTGTTTTCTGTCCCTAGAAGGGGGATAAATGAGGGTCAGAATGAAATTCAATTAAATCCACTGAGCTGATACAGAGGGAGTTAGAGTGAGCTGCAAAACAAAATGAAAGGCTCAGTAGGAGCCTGCACAGCCAGTGCTGCAATGTCAGAAACGCAACACAGTGCCATCTGAAACCTACAGCCACGGTAGCAGGACTCGAGTCACAAAACAGCGGTGACACTCCTGGGGAAGCCATGCCTGCTTGCACCAGCACTGGAATAACGCACCGGGATCCTGCGACACAAACCCCCGAGATCAGATGCATTTTGAGGGGTGGTTCAGCAAAGCCTCTGGGGAGGACATCCACTGCTGGAGTAAAACCACCAGAGGAACAGACTAAGCAACATCTATTTACAGCAGAGAGGAGTATCTGTCCCTTTCTTTCGCTCCCCCTTGGCATTCTCCTTTGGGTCTCTTATGGGATAGAAGGTGCCTTAAGACAATAGATAATTAGCTGTAATGCATCCTCTGTGGCTTTAACAACTTAACAAGGCTTATCTGGAGACGTGATCTAGGCTTCCAGTTACCCTTGTTCTCCCGGTTCCCTTCCTCGTCCACACCTCCCTCCCCAGATATTTGCATCTCAGCTTGACAGGTATTTTGAATTAAAGCTTAATAAAAGTGTTTGCATGTGTCTGCGCACGCTTAGGGAAAAGGTATGAAAAAAACACCCTATTTTAACTCTGCCCTCCCCGAAACACGTCTCGTTCCATCTTCCTTTCCCTGACAAACAGAGGCAGTTGAAATAAGGAACATCAACTTTGGAATGCCACTCTACCAAGGGATAACTTATTAAAAATATAAGATTCATCGTTTAAAAACGAAGGGAAAAAAATGCCCAGGAAGTTGATGCATCACGGTGTTGCATTTGTGTCAAGCTCTGGGTAAACATGCAGCAACATGAATGAAATCTGTCCAGAAAGACTGCATTTCAGCGCCAACCACGCAATCGCTGGCCAAACCACTGCATATGTAACAAAAGTTTGATCTCGCCTGCAAGCGCTCAGCTGCGCTTCTGCCATTTCCTGTGGAAAACTGAAGCTCCGAACCAGTGTCTCTCAGGCAGCCCTCGCCGCCAGCCAGCCAAGCTGCCCCTGAATTCACGCCCATCACGCCCCGCAGACGGGCGGGCAGCCCCGGCAGAGCCGTGCGGGGGATGCTCGGCAGCTCCCGTCCAGCCCTCCCCGCGGCCCGGCCCGGGCACCGCCGTGCCGGGGCAGCCGCGCCGCTCCTCCCTCCCGGCCCCCGGCCCCGGCGGCAGGTGCGGCGGCGGCGGCAGCCCGCCCAGCGCCCGGGGGGGCGGACGGGGCCCGCCCGGCGCAACAGGTGGTCGGTGGCGCCCGGTCCCGCCCGGCGGCCGCACTTACCGCTGGCGTTCTTTCCACAGATGAGGTGCTGGTAGGGCTGCAGCAAGCCCCAGAGCTCGGGGTCGTTGTTGACCGTCTGCTCCAGCGCCTCCAGGGTGAAGCGGGGCGCCTCGCCGCCCTCCTTCTCCTTCTCGGCCGGGGCGGCAGCGGCGGCCGGGGGGCGGCCGGGCGGCGGGAGCGGGGCGGCGGGACCGGCCAGCACCCGCGCGTGGATGTCGCGGAAGAGGCTCTCGGTGCCGGCGGTGAGGTAGATGGCGGCGTGCTCGTGGATGCGCAGGGCCACGCGGCTGTCCACCATCCAGCGGTAGAACTTGCCCACGGAGAAGGCCAGTCCGCACCGGGCCGACTTGCCGCGGCTGAAGCGGTCGCCGCCGCTGCTGCTCATGTTGTAGAGGGAGAGGGCGCCGAGGGCGGCTGCCGTGCAGCGGGCCGCCAGCGTCCAGCCCAGGACGATCTCCATGGCGCTCCGCACCTCGTGCTTGGTGCACTTGGCGAAGCGGAGGCTCAGTCGCTGCGCCTCCCGAGCGATGCGCACCAGCGCCCGGCTCACCAGCGTCGAGAGCCGCGCCGCCGCATCCCGGCTGCCGGGGCTGGCGGCGCCCGGCGCCCGCGGCTCCCGGCGCGGCGGCGGCGGCAGCAGCAGTGCCTCCACCTCCTCCAGGCTCCAGGGGACCTCCTCAAGGTCGGGCAGGAGCCGGGAGCACTGCTGCCCCGCGCAGTCCAGCACCTCGGAGTCTTCCGCTAGGACGGTGTTGACGGTGTCGAAGCTGTTGTGCCGACTGTGCATGGAGTCAGTTAGGTGCGGCCAGCAGCTTCCTCCATAGGGGTACGCGGGGTGCGAATCCGAGCAGCACAGCGACAAGTTGGAGGAGCGCACAGAGTCCGCCGCACCACCATACCCGGAGTCCAGCGTCAGGTCTTCCAGCGTCCTCACCGCCGTCTTACCTCTCCGGGCCATCGCCGCACTTCATGCTGCACCCGAGGGACCCGGGCGGGGAGCGGCTCACGGGAACGCGGGGGGAGAGAGCAGCGGGCGGGCGCGGCGCAACCCGCCGGTCGCTTGGCTTCGCCCCGCTCCGCCAGACGGCAGCGAAGCGGCGGTGCTGCCTGCGCCCTGCTCCTGCTGCCGCCGCCGGCCGAGCCCCGCTGCCGGCCCGGCTCCGGCTCCTGCACTGCGCCGCGCCGCCGGCCCGACACCGCACCGCAGCGCAGCACCGGCCAGCGGGCGCGGGGGCGGGGCCATGCAAAGCGCCGCCGGCTGGCAGCCAATGGGGCGGCCAGGGGGCGGGGACATGCAAAGCAGCGCGCCCGGCGGCCAATGGGAGCGCGCCCTGCGGCGGCCGCACCTCCCCTGGCTCCGCGGGGCCGCTCCGCGCCGCGCAGCGCGGGCCGGGAGGGGGCGCGGCCCCGCCGGCCCCGGAGCCGCCCGAGGAGCCGCGGGGCTGCGAGATCCGCGCCGGCGGCGCCCCCGGGGCCGCGACCGTGCGCTGCAGAGCGAAGCCGTGTTAATGCGGTCCTGGCCCCGCCGGCGGCCGGAGGAGTGCGGCCAGCCCTCTGTCCCCACGGCTAGGAACAGCGCGGCTCTGCTGGGTGCATCTACGCCGTTCCCCAGGCGTACGAACTAGAGTCCCGCTCCAGCCCGCACTGGGTTTTCACACCAGCAGTTCCCTGATGTTGCTATAAACAAATGACAGGGAGCGCAGGCACTCACACATCTCATCAGACAAGATGTTTTGAAATCAAGCCGAAACTGCCACGTAAAAATCCCAGCCATCACCCGAGTCAGGAAGAGCAATTTCCAAATAATTAAAACAAGTACAATAAAATCCTTTGACGTCTTGACGTTAACCCATTAGGTATCGTGAAGGCTTTGACAAGTAGGAATTGTACTGGGCTTAGGGCACATTTCCTATGCATAGTAAGATGGATTTTTGCAAGACAATTTATCCTAGACTAATGTATTTTAATCTAACATTGCTAGGCTTTAGCTTTATTAGGAATTGCCTGAGTAATGTCCCAGGCAGCAGACTGACAATGTATGTTTGCATTCTCTGGTTTTGAAGAAATCTTACATCCTTTTAAGCGTAAAATACCAGCAAATGTCTATCCCTTTAAGGATAAAAGCCTAGCAAACACATTTCTCTATCATGCCAACAGAGACAGCCAAAATTCTTGGACAGACAAGGCAAATCATGTAAGAGATTTCCCCATCCAAGCAAGCCTGGCACTTCTTCAACATCAGCTTCCTAGAGGAAAGGCACGAGCACAACTACAGGTACGTTCACTTGTCAGTCAGTCTGGGGAGAACTAAGACACCACCGAAAACACCAAGAGGGAGTTGCTTTCCAAATGAAGTCAAGTGCTGTCAAAAACTGCTTTCTCAGCATAGTCTTGGCCCTTCCACAAGACGCAGTACGCACAATGGGTTTCCACAGATTTCCCAAGCACCACCATATCCTGATAAAAGGTAGAAGAGCTGAGAACAGGTGCAATCAGAACTTAAGCCACTGTCACAAGTGAAGTAAGATGCTGAGGCCCGCGCTGCTGGCAACAGCCCGTCTTGGGGCTGGCTCACCAAAAATGAGAGCATAGCTCGAGAGTAAAATCCTGTGGACTTTGCAGCAATCCAGCAGTCTATCTGGCACTAGAGCCCTCTGGTGTCTTCACCACCTCAGTGCAGTGGTTGCTCAAAATTCCCCTTTTCATTTGATAGAAGGAAGGCACCACCATGACTAAACCCCTTAAGATTGTTATTTTTCTTACTCCATTCGCCTGACTCTGTTCCTGTGCTCTCACAGAATGCCACAACAGCTCATGCTGAGCAGGTCAAACGCAGGGAAAGTTTGAGTGGAAGGTTTTCTAGTAATTGGTTTGTAGGGTTTCATAGAGACAAGGTAGGCATCCAGGGAGGATGGAACAAGAGAAGTGGGTATTTTGCTCACCAGCCTTTGTGAAAAACGGCACTGCAGAGGCCAACATCCCCTTTGGCTACTGCATAATTTTTAGGTTACAACATCACATTGAGATGAATAGGATAAATGAGGAGTGGACAGTTGTCTGAGGCACCATGCAGACTCAGGCATTTCTATTGTTGATGCAGAAACAGTTTGGACGTCTAAAGAGATCGGGGGTTTATTTTTTTTTAATTCAGAAAGCAAAATACTGGGTCTTACTAGAGATTTTATAGATTCAACCTTGCACATGGCAGTTTGATTCCCAGTCACATTACCAGCTCAAAAGATGTTGCAATACTTGAACACACCAAAGGCATGTCAGCAGCACTAGGCTGGTTTAAACTTTTGAAAGTGGTAGTAAGAACTTCTGACTCATTTGTTCAGAAGACTAATTACCTTTCCATTGAAAGGGCTGAAGTTCAAATAAGTTCAGTGTGACCAGGCTGGATCTCCGGTGATCTTTTGGTACCCAAAGAATTTCACCTGCCCAGGTGTGTGGATATACTGGCTGCTGCATCCCAAAGTGAGATTCAGGATTATTTGGAAAGTTCTCCTCAGACAGGATTCTTTAAACCGCCCTCAGAAAATACAGGATCAAACAGTTTGGAGCAAAACACACTCCTGCAACATGTACAGTGCCTGCATGGGATGAACTCTGGAGACAGTCCTTAGCTTTAATCCAGAAAGGGCACCACACCTCTCCTAGCCTGGGAGGAAGGGCAGGTGTCTGCAGCTGCACTCCATTCTGCAAGCCTTACAGCCAGGGTCATTTGCCTATGAGACAAAAACACCCACTGCAGAAAACAAAGTCCCTTTATATGTCAAAGGCTGGGTGGAAACAATTTTCAGCTTGTTGGAGACAGGAACATCAATTATCCTTACAGACAATTCAGACAGGGACTGATTAAGTAACATACCAGGATGACAAGTGCCAGCTAAAACTCTGAAAGAGGAAAACTGAACCACATTTTTAAAAGGTGCTTAGGGCAAATTTAAGTGAATGGGAAGTCGGTATTTTTATGGGGAGAGCACTAAGTGCTGCAATTCTTTCCTTCCCCACCCAGTCAACTGCCTGCAAAAGGCATCTTTTTGACAGCAGTAGGAAAAAACATGACAGCAAACAGGCTGCCAGACAGAGCAGGAATTCACCTAGGATCAGGCCGCTTCGTGTAATTTCTGTATTCAAAATTCAATGTGCTGCACTGCAGTAATAGCTCAGATGAAAAGCAGAATTCGCAGGATCTCCCAGTGTTATCTCCAGCTGCTAGGAACAAGCAGCAAACCCTTAAGAGGTCCTTCTTTATATTGCTGGGGAAGTCGGAGTGCTAGTGTTTCTAATCACAGGAGTTCATTTACAAAACAAGGCTGTAATCCTGTATCAGTAAAGCAGGTGTGAAATGCACATCCCTGGCAGAGGAGCCTTTGGGGCTGCAGCGTGTGTACGGTGTGCTGCAAAGAACACACACACCCTCAAAGGAGCCGAGCGCTGCCATCAGGTATCACGGTCCCTGCAGGACCACTGGGAGACTGCTGCCAACTGTTTCGACAAGCTGGCTCAGGGAGATGACTCGAGTGTCGCTCCTCAAACACATACAACTCCAAAAGCAGTGGGAATGAGTGATGCAATGAGGCCACCGGCTTGCCAGCTGGAAGGGAAGCACTGGTGGTGCCTCCAGCATGAGTGGGAGGGAAGAACACGTGGCAGGCGGATGCCACACCACCCGCTTTTCCCGATCAGCTCCATCCTGCTGATTTCAGCAACAAGCTCAATTAGGACCCCTGGCTAGGATTTAGCAGGAGCCATTGCCCCACGAAGAAGCAAGATTCAGCTGATCAGCTTTCCCTCTTGCAGACACTAAGGAATAGGGCTGCCTCTATATTTCAGCCGACTATTGCTTAGCCAGGGGCAGCCACCCGCCCTTATTCCTCTGCTGTGCAAAAGCAGCCAACTTCCCACTGAGCTCAAAACCCTTCCTGACTTTCTTCCTGCAGCCCCGTGCCCCCATGTGCCGAGAGTGGAGTTTTGCAACAGATGTGTAGTAGACTTGTGCCTGCCACTGTAGGGAGAGATTACATGGCATTTCTCAAAATACACAAGCCAAGGATGCTCTGAGAAACTGCCAGCCTCAACCAAATCCCACCTCATAAAACAAAGCTGTGGAGCCCAAGGCCATGGTACAGTTTGGAAGCAAAGAGCACAAATGATTTTAGAAAGAAATCTGACAAATTCCTGGAGGCTAAAGACACTGGTAACTATTAAACACAATGGTGCATGTGCAATCTTCATCTCAGAAAGTTTCTCAACAGCTGTTTGCCAGAAATGGGGAGGTTATGCCAGGGGACAAGAGGACTTTGTAATTGCTTAGTTACTCAATGGGTCTGTCGTTGATGGCTATGAAAGATGAGAGACTTCACTGCAGAGACAGGGCCGGAGCCCCCAAGGCAGTTGTTTGGTTTAAACACTTACTTCCACACCAGCCAAGGGTATTACCCCCTCACAAGTGCACCTTGGTTCTGCACATCCAACACAAAACTATTTGCTGTCTTTACAAGATACTGGATCTTAGAACAAACTGTCCTTTGTTCTAAGACAGGATCAACTGCAACCTCTACATGAATCCTGACAGGTTTTAAAACTTTTCTTCAAACCATCCATAACAAAGTCTCTACAACTTCCCTGGGTGCTCTGTTTCCAAGTTCAAATAGTCTTACTGCTTGAAACAGCCTTCCTAACACTGACCTAACCTTACCTTGCTACAAATGGGAAAAATAAAAAGATGCTACCAAACCTTTTTAGTGGTCTGGACTAGCATCTCTGTCTTGTTTGCTCTTAGGCAGTATTAAAAGCATATAGAGCCAAGCATCAAGTTAGCCCCCAGCCAGCAGGTACAGGTTCTTCTCACATTGCACTACACCACTCCAAAAAGCATAAGAATGTTTGCATGCTTTATGTACAGGAAGATTATACATACATACCATGTTTTGATGAGAACTGAAAAAAAACAGGAATAGCAGGCTTCCCAGAGAACAGACACAAGGAAAGACTGTTCAGCCAGTGATAATTTTCATTCCCACCCAAAACATGACAAACCTGCACAAGGGATATAAGTATGAGTATATGAGAAAACAATTTAAAGGTGAAATCTGAAGTGATGAATGTGCTTGAGATCAGCAGTGGCTGTCGAGTAAGCCAGTCCTTTAGTGTTTCCTTGAGGGAATGAATGTCCAGC